TTTTTTTGAATTGGCTTTTGTTAAATTCCCTAAAAAAGTTGAGAGAAAAAAAAGAAGTCATTGGTGGAGTTTAAAGTCTCCGTGCACGGAGTAAAAGTACCATAAGCTTTAAAAAAATACAAGAAAAAGATTACTCTACTTCCAGAAATAATAAATTCATCAAATTCAGGTTTCATAAATCCATAAACCCCCTAGAAAATAAAAATATAAAAGGCTCATTCATTTAAATGCAGGAAATGTTTAATAGTTTTTGGTCTGGCTTAAGTTTCCAAGTAAACTTACCAAGTTCAAAACCTTGCGCACTATAATTATTAAAAACAAACAAAAAATTCTTAAAAACAGGAGAGCAACAAAATAAATGAAAAACGGTTACAAGATTATTTTTTCCACCAAGAAAAACAACTAACAGCTAAACTCTAACCCACAAACACATGCACGAACACACAATAAGATAAAATAAAAATGATTTCCACATGCAGAAGTATTAAATAACAAAGTATTCAAACTCACAAGCTAAAATCTCTTTGATTTTCAAGAACTGAGAAAATTTCAACTTTCGTTTTTCAGAAATAGATAAACAATTAGAACATCTAAGTCGAAGCAAAAGAAAATAAATAACTGAAGTTAAGCCAAATGACACTAGAAAATCGCTGGCATTTGCAAAGTAACATATGATTGGAATACTTCAAAGATTTCATATAAAAAATGAAAAATTATTATTAAAATATCTCAAGATAATTCATTTTAAAAAATTTGACGTGACATTTGGTGGTTCCATAATATAAGATTTCTTTTTAATTTTCTTCATTTATTTCAAATTTCTAAACCTTCATAATCTCATAATAAATTATATGCTTTATTGCAAATCAGCTGACTTCATCATTTATTTAAAAGAAAATGTTTTATTTTATTTTATTTTATATATATTTTTTACAAGTTAAAATTCAGTCGATAAAATTATTGATTTCTCTAACTTAATCAAAGTTTTTAGTTTTAATAATGTCATTTTTACATGTTACCTTGTCTAACACCCTTCCTCTTGAAGTTATCATTCTGAAAGCAAATTTGATGATTATGAAATGTGGAAAAAAAAAATATATATTCCAGCAAACTGAGCAAAGTGAAATTTTAAGTATTAGATACAAAATTAACTTGCAACAAGAAGCCATTTATTTAATCGAAATAAAATATTTTTGAATAAATCCACCAAAACTTTTATTACCTATACAATGCAGAGATCATTCATTAAATCATTTTTTATATCTTCCAAACAAAATTATGAACCTTGAACATCCCTACGATCTAGAGAAGCGGCCCTAGAAATTTACAGGGAGAAAAAAATTATGCTGTATATTTCATCAAGCAAAGCCATAGATGGTGTGTGCATCTATCTTGCTAGATACACTCATTTGTATCTTTACACTTGTCATGACTTTTTTTTTTTCATTTTTAATCCCTTGTTCTTCAATTCTTAACCAGCAGGCCTCCGGATTGATCTGAACTTCAAGAATTTACTTGATTATCTTCAAGAATCGAATGAAAATGGAGGTTTTAACAGATCATAAGGTGCCCAAAGTGCATCTAATGGACATGGCCGGCTCCCATCAAGCCTAGCCCATGGCTTACCTTTCCCACTCCAATGCAGTAGACTCACTGGCCTCGGATGTAAAACCCAGCAAAGTACTTACCTCCGTGGCCTACGTGCACGGAGTAAATGTACCCTAAGCTTTAAAAAATACAAGAAAAAGATTAATCTACTTTCAGAAACAATAAATTCATCAAATTGAGGTTCATAAATCCATAAACCCCCAAAAAATAAAAATATAAAAGGCCCTTTCATTGAAATGCGAGAAATGTTTAATAGTTTTTGTTCTGGCTTAAGTTTCCAGGTAACAAGCACAGCTCTAAACTTACCAAGTTCAAAACCTTGCGCACTATAACTATAAAAAACGAACAAAAAATTCTTAAAAACACACGAGCAACAAAATAAAGGAAAAAAAGGTTACAATATCATTTTTTCCACCAAGAAAAACGACTAACAGCTAAACTCTAACCCACAAACACATGCACGAGCACACAATATTAAATAACAAAATATTCAAACTCACAAGCTAAAATCTCTTTGATTTTCAAGAAATGAGAATATTCTAACTTTCGCTTTTCAGAAATAGATAAACAAATGAATACAAGTGTTTCTATATATACACAAAGAAAGATCAAAGATGTCTCTGACAAGTCTACTAATTTGATGCATCTGAATGACAGATTTTAGGATTGCATAGAATTATCTTATATCTTCCCTTGTGTTGCTTAATCTATATAGTTCGATTTCATGCCCCTTCTTTTATGGTTGGTGGTGATTTTCTTGTGTAGGGATGAATTAGGCACTCAAATACCACAATATGCCCTCTTTCACTCCCACCCACACCCCAACAATTTAACAGAAAGGAAACATAGAAGGCAAATTATGGGCATAACCTGGTGAAGATCACTAATATAAGCCTTGTTCTTACAAGATTTTGTTACTTATGAGAAGTGGAAGTATTATCTACAATTATTAGCAATATGACACATGAGATTTAAGTTTTTGGTGAGTTTTAAACCATCAAGTCCAATTAACTTTTGAAGCTGACAACTTACACTTTGTCTGCAAAAATGATATCCTTTTCTTTCTCTGTTCTTTACACTGTTGGATTTCTTCAACTGAAAATATTATCGAGAATATGCTTAAAGTATTGTCATGATTGTGATCATTATTAACCTTCCTCAATTTAATCTATTTCTTCTCTTGTCATTTAGGACCTTTTGTGACAAATGTACTCTTTGTTACATAATTTCGTCTTGCTGGAATATAATTAAAGGGTTTTGATCAAAGAGCATTTCATTGTTGTGTTGGGACCGATACATTTCTTTCTTGGATTATCTCATTGAGACTATATAAACAAGAAAAGAAGACCTGGAACCAAGTTTATTCAAGATGCTGCAGGCCTTTTTTCATGGATTTCTATGGTGTTTATATACAAGGAAGAAAAGATTATTGTAAGAGTTTTAAGATTTTTTTTTAATGGTTTACAAAGATCTCCCTACAAATCTCTTAACTAGCAAGGAGGTAGAAGAAATTAATTAATAAACCCATTATCTTTATTTTACAAGAAAATTTAGACAAACGCAAGTCCACTCCTTTTCTTGTCACACTTGGAATGATTCATTAATGAACATTTATTATAGCGTATGAAAGGGAGTAAATCCGCATTTATGAAATGGTTGGCGGTTGTAATTGATGCCAAAAAGTCTTTGTTCTGCATAACTTATTTGAAAATAAATTAATTTTCTATCACGTATTTTCTTAATAAAATAATTTTATATGTAAATCCATAATTCTACTTTTTAACCATACATTTATATTTTTTTCACTTTAAATAATCTCTCCCACACAAACACTTAAAAAAAAAGATTATATAAAATATACTCTACTATGCATTAAATTAATTAAACTATACTCTGCATGCATGATAATAGTATTTATGCAATATTGAGTATTAACTTTGCCTCTTAATATTCTCATTATTATGTTCCATCCAAACCAATAGAAGAATGTGATTTTCAAACTTTAATCAAAATGTCATTCTCCACATGCATCTCTCATCATGGTTACAGACAATTCGACCACATAATTATGTTCGGCTTCAATTATTTATCAATTGAGAAATATTTAAAATTATTAAAGAAAATATCTTTTTGTTGCGTAGAATTATTTGCTTAATTAAGTTAAAAGCTAATGAACAATACGCTTCTGATAATCAAATAGGGACCTGAAAATTTTCTCCTTTGGAAAGCTGCAAGATTTGATACCTCATAGATGCAAAAGATAATAATTTAGGCAAGACTTGTGCATGTTTAGTTTTTTGCACTCATGAAATGAATTCTTAATCAAAATTTACAAAATACCCCATACGTTTAGGATGTATTTGAATTTTGCATACCATATTTTACAAAGTTACATTTTTCATATTGAATTCTACTTATTGGTACACACTTTGAAGGAAAAATAGAAATATTTTCAAATTTCTTATTATAAATGACTAAACAGGACCAAAGTAACTAAGCAAACCAAAGTAATTCTAATTTAAAAATAACAAGATCTTTAATTAATATTTTATACCATTTATTATTCTTCAAAATTGTAATTTCTATTACTCTTTCATCCAAAAAATATTATAAAAACGACAATACAAATATTTCTCATTTCAAAAATTTTAAATACTTTTTGAAATTCTACAAATTCCACGCTAATAATAACATAGGAAAATGCGCAAAATACCGGGATAAGAAAAAGCGCGAAATACCGGGAACAAGATTAGGGCTTTATCACAGTTGAGGAACTCATCGAATTGGGAGGAGCAGCGATAAGAGGAATGGACGGTGGAAATGAGGGATCTCCACTTCTACGATCGCAGACCACCGTCGATTTGAGTCGGAACGGTGAGGCGGTGGCAGACCTGACGGGAAAAGTCCATCTGCTACCATGCTGCATCAAGTACGACGGTTCCACCTCCGTTTCTGACTACTTCAAGCCCAAGTTCTCTGGTATGACTATGACAACGCACGAACACGGCTCACGATTTGTGCAATGGCGTTCGAGTTTTTTTTTTTTTTTTTTGAATTTGATGAATGGATAAAATGATATGTAGGAATTGAAGTGGATGGGTTAAGAGTAGAGGAAGCATACTTCAGAGGAAGAAAATTAAATGGCACAACTCTTCCCCTTCCAGACGGCTATTCTGGTAATTCTCTTATCTCGCTTAATCTATTTTTTACTTTCATTTTTCCGTATTTTATTAGAAAACTTTCCTGATCCATTTTTGTTTATCTGAATGTGTATGTTTTGTATTTATTTATAAACAAAAACAATTGGCTTCTTTGAAGTCTTTTTCCAGCAGAACTAATGGTCGCCTTGCTTAAAAAAGACGTTAATTGCCTCTTTTTTTTCTTTTTTTTAAATTTTAAATTTTTGGCTTTAAAGGTATGCCAAACATGCACCATTTTGTCTACTTTAAATTTAATCTACCTTAGTTCACCAGCAATACAAATGTTAAAATCTAATTTTGAACCAGGATATTATCAAATAAAATGGCGTGAAAAAGGACTTGACCAAGCAGAGAAAGTAAAAGAAAAAATGGTTAATAATGCGAAAGGAAGGGGAAACTTAGTTATCTGGGTAATCATTTGCTGTATGGGAAATCACGGTGAATTTTTAGTTATGGAAAATGCTCCTCTACCAGACCTGTAAAAGGCCTGGTAGAGGAGCTCCTCTCCCATTTTCTCTCCCATTTAGTTATCTAAATTGATATTATTGCTAAAATTGATTATTTGTACGTAAGACGAATTTCTGCCGTCTCAAGAAGATGGGTATTCCTTCATGTGGAATTTTAGTAGATAGAGACGTAATAAATATTTTCCCAACATCATTGTATTTCCGTATTGAGTTTACAGCAAATATTTATACGTGATTTAATCTCATTAATTGCTGCGTCCTGTTTGTTTTAGATGTCGCATCATTGCTTCACAGGTTTCATCTTAGGGAAGAAAAGTTCTGATGAGAAAGCTAATGCTGATACTTCATATTGCTGGGAGGCAAATGCAAAGTTTCAAAATCTAACATTATGGAATCATGACAGCCTTCCCTCTAATGATGATGCATTCATCCGCACCTTTCACTGGTTTGCTGTTGCAAAAGCTGTAAGTTCTTATTTGACTTATGTGGTCTTGAGACACTTGATGGATCTCATCTTGGCATACTTCAATTTTATAGAATATAACTTGTTTATAAGGCGTCATTGTGAATGTCCATGTTTTATACTTCTGAGAAATTTGTGTGCACTTTATTGGTTCTCTGAAATAATAATTTGAACTAAGACAAGTTCCTTGAAACATGGACTTATTTTCTGGTGTAAATACTTTTCCTAGGAGCACAGCTAATGTTATAATAGTTGATTAGGGCTGGTGAAATTTGGCCATCAGTAGGTTTTAGTAGTTGGGCCGAACCTATATGTCACTAAGCTAACACCACAATTTGTCTAGCAAGACTATTCTTTTGGTACCCCAGTCTACTCTTTTGAGTTCTTGATTGATTGAATAAACAATGAATCCTAGCATAGGCCATCTTTCTGTGTTTTGTTCGACTTGTTTGGAATGATATTGTTATTGTCTTCTCTGTTTTGTTTTCAGTGATATCTTATTTAAGATAGGAAATGAATCGATGTGGTTTAATTTGTGAGAAAAATTTAAATCGCGTTCTTGAATTTGCTCAGAGTAATTTTCATCTTCTGTTCTATTATTCCCTGAACAAACCTTTCGAAGTTGTGATTTAGCTTGGACATTTGTTTAGCGACCCAGAGAGGAATGCTAAGACAACTGCATGAGTGCACAAATTTGGACCATTCAAAGAGCACAAAATGCATATGATAAATTCCTAACTTTTTTTTTATCGATAAATGTGTAATATATTGATCATAATCATGTACAAGTACACCGGGCATACCCGAGCAAATCATCCAAAATACATATACAAATACATCCAGGCATTCCCGGCCAATCAATAAGTTCCTAACTTTGCATCTACCTAGCGTGTGTTATTATCATCAGTGGTCCAGATTCATTACTCTGACTGACAGGCCGCCTTTTTCTTTAGGAGGTCTTTTCAAGTTGTAATTAGATCTGCATGTACATAAACAACTTTTCAGAACTCTGTTGTTGAGCGTGCTTGGGGGAGAATAAAACTAGGTTGGGTGACTGTCAGGAAGTTCTTGTGTTTTATCCCAAAAATAATAAGAGCATGTTTAATGTTCTGAAAACGTAAATCAGATTTACTTAAAACGTAAATGAGATTTGCAAACATGATTTGATAGTTACTTTCCTGGAAAGCAAATCTCAACTTACTTCCAAAAAAAAGTAACTTTTAAACACATTCAAACATGCTAGTAGGTTCACATCCTCATAAATATATAGAAGTATTAGCTAGTGCTCGGTGGCTATACAGATGCTATCAATTCCATCAGATATGATGATCAAAATTGTAAATGCTTGATTTATATCTTCACGAGTTTCTCATTTTTATTCTACTATGATAATTAAGATGTGATTATACTCGATGTTATAAGTTCACGATTAAGGCTAGTACCCTCTTGGCATCCATTTTCAATGATTCTAGTTATGTATGCAGCTGCACCAACCAGTCAATGTCGAAGATCTGGAATACCTTCCAGTCGATGAGGACGTGGTGTAACTAAGAGATCTTTGACGTGGTGTAACTCAGAGATCTTTCTTCAGCTGCACTCCGGTGTAATAATGTTATTTTGTACTGGCGGAATGGGGATGGTATTGAAGCTTAAAATCTTGATAACCGATAGCCGTTGGATGTCTGTTACTGTTCGTTCTTCCCTGTTGAAAATCATCCATTGTCTCTCTTGCCAAACACATCATTGAACTATCTTATCTGTTGATGCTGATTGCTGAGCAAATTTGGCAAAGCTGAAAAGCCCTTTGAAAGGGTGTATTTTTAATTTTTCCCCCTTTGACAATGACTCTTTTAAGCAGTTTTACAGGAAGAGAAATTTAAATTCAAAATTAAATTTGAATGTGTCGTGTACATAATGTGTCAATCGACTATTAGTGATAAAATACAAATTTTTATGTTGACAAGATTATTAACAATGTTAAAGATATAATTGAGTGAATTGATTAGCCGAAAACGATTGATTAGGTAACATTTTGTAGCTATGTCTAATCTGTCTCTGGTGTTGGAAAAAGCTACAAAATTTGATTACTACATTAATCAATCTCCATGTGATAGTTTGTTCAGAGTTAGGACATGATTTGTCATTTGAAAAGCTTCTTTAACCACTTAATTGTCGACACTTAATTAAATTATTTAAAATAATAAATCACTAGTCTGGTAAAATAATTCACGCTACGCTTAAATTATATGCTTTGATCAGCCAGAAAATTTTCATTTTCCATGTAATTAAGGATGCGCATGTTCATGAGGAGACATGCCATGTTACGTGACAACATTATTTATATGCCACGGTAATTGTGCCTGTGAGCATCCTTTATTTTTTAATCACAGTAAAATAATTTTGCACATGAATTTATAATTTTTCTCGATTGTACATTCTATAAAAATCATTTGTCACAAAATTTATTCTCAAAAAATCTCGAGCTTCTAATCTTTACTTGGAACATGGCTTTCTGTGTATGTGTGGGATGTTAAAGATCGTGTCATTTGGCAAACCGTCCATTGACTACATTAAAGTGTCCATCTTATATGATTTAAAAAATTAACATGAAATTAGATTTCAAAGGAAGATTATCTACTGCTGACTTTAAGACATTGGATACTTTATGTCCTAGTTAATTATTCCATTTTAATGTTACGTATAAATTTCAATGGCTTTAGGCTACTATGCATACCGTTTTATATATTTCTTTCAAATATTTTATTATGCAAGTGTCAAGAATTTGACCGAACAACACAAAAATGAGAGTATCTCAAGAGTTCACGATTCTCCACCCTAGTTGGTTGGAAAGATTGCGTAAATTTTCATTATTCAAATGATTATCAGTCCAATATTCAAATATTTCACTATCAAGGAGTCACGGAGTTAAATCGAAAACATAGAAATGGAAGTATATCAAGAGTTCAATGAAACAAGTGATCCTCAATCCATGCCCCAGTTCATATAAAATTAAGCATAATTAAAAAGTCACTTTTTTTTTTATTCGACAACATATTCACACATCCTACATACTTTATGAGATTTAATATTATTTTTCTTAAAAAAGCATACAAATTTGATTTCTCAAATTTCTCAAATTATTTAAAGATTATAAGTTGTAGAGTTTGGTTCACTTGGAAATTTCAGCAATTAATTAGATGCTATATTTGACCATCATGAATACCGTACTACAATTAATCAACAAGAAGAAAATTACACTCCTAATTTGTCTCAGTCTAAGAAAATAAGGATTCACCTAATTAATTTGACATTAAGATATTATATTAAAATCCTAAAAATGATGATTTAGTTAGCATTTCTTGAATGCAGTAAGGTAATAATTGAATTAATGACCACAAAATCAACAAACAAATAATAAAAGTAGAAGATTTTAACAAATAATAGAGACTTATTCATATAAATTCATGATGTAAAAATTACAATATAATAATATATAACTTGAAATGGATGCCTAATAGACTAAATTCATGCAATTCTAATCAAGATGAGATGACATATATATACACTTTAGCAAATTACTTATAATTAAGGGAATTGATATATGTGCAATAATAACAAGATATATAATAATGTTCAACAATCAGAAAATTACTACTATACTCAGAAAAATTCATGTAATATAATTAAAAAAAGATTACCTTTCTTTGTGTATACTTCTAGCTTCTTTATTTATATGCATACCATGTTCGGGTCGGTACCTTGGTTTCGAAGTCCCCTACATGATTGGAGATGGAAGGATTTTCTCTACCTTCTAGGGCATCAACCACAAGTTCGATTAATGAAGAGTATGATAAAGAATTCTTATTTTATTTATTTATTTTTTTGCCTTCTTTCATGTAAAACTTGACTGATAAATCGAAAAGATAAAAAAAGGCAATGTATTTGGTTAAGCTGTAAACACGCTGAGAAGCACACTTTTACTGAAATCTTGCAGTAAAATGTTAGATTAACTGAAAATTTAACTTTTACTGCACTTGCTAGGCATCTAAATGTAATATAATTTATTAAGGTGACAGAATTTACACCCTCAGTAAATATTTATGAGGTCAAGCTGGATTAACATGTATATAACTTTCCAGACTCTTAGTAGATTTTCAATATAATATCAATAAATTGACCAATAGCATGCCTTTCTCGTGTTTCGGGAACTTGCAGACAATTTATATACTCATCTTGATTTCTTCAGCTTGAAAAAGATGGGATCTAGGTTTCCATCTTAAAAGGGTAGAAGTATCTCAAGTTGTTATTTAATGATTATTTATTTGTGAACAAAGATCGAAATTTTATCCAGCTTTCATTGAAACCAGCAAATCCTCTTCTGTATGCATGTGGCAAATTGCAAAAAGAAATCTAAAGATTATATATACCTAATTACCACTGAGATTCAAAATTTCAAATCATATATATAGTTTCATTGAATAATTGATAAGAATAAACAAGAAATTAAATTACCTGTGCTGATGAGGTCAAGAAACTCAAGGGACTAATCCATGATCAGAAGTTGAGTGCAAAGAAATTGATTTACAGTATTGTTGGTGAGTGATTGAAGCTGCTAGATGACCTGATTGAAGCCAAATCTTAGAAGCTAACTTCATTTTCGACAAAGGTGAATCGGTCAACTTTAATTTGGTCGAGTCAAAATCAAATCCCAGAAAATCAAGAACTCAAAAAATCAACATCAATATCATGGATCAAGGGTGGAGGATTGGTTGGATTTCTGTTAAATGGTTGTGAGAATTCAAGAAAAGAAGAATATAGATTTGTTTCTTACCAGATCATGCTGGCAGCTTCAACCTCTCAAACCAACATACATATATAAAAGTAAAAGCCCAGTTTGAAACAGAAAAGCAGTAATATATTTATAGGGTTTTGATATTTGTGAAGGTGAAGAGCCATGCATGACTCTCCACTTGAGTCATACATATGTTGAGAGAGTTTTAATGGCTAATTTCTAGCCTTTTCTTACAGCTACTGACGTTGACTTGTTGCCTCCTGCCCAAACCCTCTCCCTCCTCTTCCAATAAATTATTTTCATTCTTATTTTTTAAAGCAAACAACACAGGACCACTAGCCACGATCGACCTCGACAATTATCAGTTATACAAGGTCACTAATTAAAGTTGATTGATCCATATAAATTTAAATACATACATACTGCTTTACTTTAGTATTATTGACATTTTAATCCTTTCATATGTGTTCATCTATGCATTTCCTGCACCCTTTGAATAGCTAAAATGCTAGACCGTTGTTCCAAAGGTGACCATTTGCACTCCAACCCTCAAATTCAATAGTGAAACTTTGAGTACACGAGAAATAAATGGATAGAGTTTTGGCCGATTTTTTAGATATTGAATATTTTTCGTTTGGTGCAGAGTAGGCATTTGAATCAAGGGTATTTATACTTTTTAATTGTTCAAGCGGTCGATTTGACATTTGTCTATGGATCGTCGACCTTGTCACATTGATTCTATACCTTTTGTAGTTATGTTAATTTCTAGGATCCTCCTAAATATGACTCTTGTGAGTTACTATTGTTCAACTATCTTAGAAATATGAGATGTCCCTAACGTATTTTATTTGTAGTATTATTTACATCAAAGCACAAATGTGTGAGTAGATATTTGTATCTCTTAAGAGTATCCTGTGGGGACCCCATTATCGCCATAACAGGTGTAGGAACAACCAACCTACGACCTCATCCTAAACTATTAGGTTTGCCACCCACTCCTTCGACCGTAGGTTCAATGAATCAAGGGTCACTACCAACCCATCTGGATCTTTGCCCCATCCCAATGCAAACTGTTGGGACTGATTTTTGCCTTCGATCATTGTTTTGAGACTGTGAGTGCAAGATCCTAAGTTAGATGAATGCCTCGGGCAAGGCTCGTAGTGGCTCCCAATAGTGAAGGCGAACTCGGTATTGGCTAGTCTAAAACTACCCTTCATGGGGATGAAGAGATGCAGGACATGATTGGACGGGCAATTCTACGTGGCATCCACGTGGGGAGCAGGTGTAGCAAATACATAAAACTAATTACATTAGATAGGAAGTATGCACAATATTTTCTTGTCACACAAATTTTATTATTGAACTTTGTACAAGCAAGAGTTGAGAATCATCAAGTAAAGCTCGTGAGCCATTTAAATTGGCCAAGACTAAAAGATATAGATCCAAATTAGTTAATTATGCATGATTATTAAAATGAGTGGACAGTGGATGGTTGGACAGAATATAAACGGCGCATGCTTGGGTTTGTCACATGGGGATGTCCTTTCTGCCTAATCACCAGTTGTTTTCAATATTTGGGCAATTTTAAGAAAGCGTTGGACCATGTCCTGTTACCATCTACCTTTGCCTTTTTCGTACGTATCCCTAACACAACAATATCCTGGGGTTTAGCCTTTAGGGGTGGCCACCATCCATTAGAGTTTAACCTTCAATTAATTAATACAACGTCTGACAATTTGTTTGGCAATCAATATATATATATTAGTATAGGCCAGGTTGGCCGTTGGCTCTATGGCTTCCTTCTTTGTCTTTACTCTTGGGGTTTTCCTCCATCTCTGTATGTGTATGTATAATTGCATTATTTTTCATTTGGTAAGGTCGTCCTCAACCTTTAAAGTTACTTACTCTTGTGAACGCCCTTTACAAACGGTATACTTGATGCGTAAAGACCTTGAAGGAGACAAAGGGTCAATATGCACAACGCCTAGTACCTATTTTTAAGGATAGGTATTCAGTATCCTAGGTTTCGTAGTTGGTGTTCTTTTCAATATCGATATATTTTCAGCATTTCACCAAAAATATAAGGAAAGAAACAAGAGATTGAGATATTGTAATTTAGCTTATTTACTCCTCTGACGACCTTTTCACTCACGTAGAATACGTACACGCTTACTTGTTAGCCGTTTAATTTTCAGTAAAAGGAAGAGCTTCAAGAATGCTTAATTTTATAAAACTAAGTTCCCCAACTTATATTTTTAACCGTAACATAGTTCCATGAGGGTCACGTGACAAGTTGGTGAACATTCAGACTTTTTCGTTGTTGGAGATGAAACTACAATGAGTGTTTCGATGTCAAGTTGTTCCTTTTTAAAGGTTATAGACCAATATTGCAATTTTTCCATACACACACATATGGTTCACAAACAATGACATTTAGACAAAGCCCTAATCGTACGGAAGGACCACAGGCTTTTAATTTGATCAATGGATATGATCACATGGTTTTGCTTTGTAATTTAGCTTAAAGGCTTGAATCTTCATGTGATTAAGGTTAGTAATCTAGTGGTGGTTGTGAATAAAGCTCACCGTTATTAGCTTTTCTATTTACTCATTCAATTAAGGTTTCTTGCTTTCCCCTTAATTGTGGTCCCACTAATAGTGTTTGATTATTCATTTGTTCTCTATAGATAGGAAATTTGTAGCCGCCTTTCATTTACCCAACATTTATGATGAGTTTTTTTCTTAAGAGATGGCTTAGATTCATTTCGTGGATTCTTTAATCAACTTTGTGGTCATAAGTGGTACTAATGACAATAGCAAGTTGGTTTTAGGTCTCTATTAATAAAAAGTAGAAACCACTTGAGTCATACGAAATTGTTTTGTGATCTTCACGCGTTTATGAAGTTATAGTGTGTTTTTGAACTTAGGTCAGTATCCAACTGCCTTTCATTTACCCAACATTTATGATGATTTTTTTCTTAAGAGGTGGCTTAGATTCATTTAGTGGATTCTTTAATCAATCTTGTGGTCATAAGTGGTACTAGTTGACAATAACAAGTTGGTTTTCAATAGAAACCACTTGAATCTCTACAAAATTGTTTCGTGATCTTCACGCGTAAAAATTTATAGTGTATTTTTGAACTTAGGTCTGTATCCAGAAAATTTTGGGGATGGGTACTTTTATAAGGGCCGTTTTACATTTTAATGTAGATTAAAATAGCTTGTGCTATTGGGGGTTGATTATGTAATTAGAATGAAACACGGCGATCAATTTGCTTATTTTTAAAGGTCGTGATCAATTTGTCAATTCGGTAATAAGTTAGGAACCAATGATACATATTTTAAACTTGCGTCGAAAATACTTGTTAAACGACTATTCTTACTAAATTCTTATCAAGTTCGTTATTTATTGGATGTTGACAAAAAAGGGTTACTAAAGCAAAACTGCATTTGATAGGTTCCCGCTGGAAGGAGTAAGAATGATCTAACTTACCATAGTTCTTGTATATTTTTCTCTTGAATGCCAAATATATTTTAGTTGAATGTCTATATGCCATGTGCAACATGGTAAGCCCATGGGCACTTGATCAACTTAATCAATTATCTTAGTCAATTTGATCATATGACTATGATTTGCTTTGATCACGATCACGAGATTCTAGTCGTAAATGACGAGGATGACTATGGGAAAGACGGGAACTACCATCAATCGGCTTAAGAAATTCATGATTAATTTAAGTAGTCGATAAGGAAAATAGGTTTAATGAAGAGACGAAGTTAACTAGTGATAATTGAGATATTGTTTAATAAATTATTTTAAGTAATCCAATGTCGTTTGTGAAACTGCTAACACGTCTTGACATGTATTAGCTTTAATTTGTATTATCAAATTGAGTGGTCTTAATTGATGCGATTGTGGGGTTAATTTGTGATTATTATGTCTATATGTTTCCTATGATCATCTTGGATTTGACAATACTACAAGGGGCTTAGCATGCATGGCAAGCATAATCTTGTTTCAGATCAGAAATGACGTGATTAACAAATAATAGTGGTGGTTAATGACATGATTACTTGCAATTAGTAGCATTTTTTTCATGCGTAAAATGTAGAATATGTTACCTTTTAACTCGTAGTTAAATAGATGATAGTATCGCCAGTGGCGAATCTAGGATTTTGAATTAGCATAGGCGGCCGTCGACCGTAATAAAATATTAATAGCTCGTTTGATGTCCCTTTTTTATCAAAAAAAAACTTTTTGAAATAGTGATTTAATAGAGAATGTGTGGTTAAAAATAATGATAACTTTTGAATTGTGTGTAATACTCTTTTATTTAAAAATGTATGATTAAAAATAAGAGAGAAAAATGTATTCTGAAATAAATGGGAATCAAACAAGGTTTAACATTTAAATACAATAATTTATTTGGTTGAAATTGAACATATATAATTCTATTATAAAAAGCAAAATGTACTCACCAAATGATATTTTTGCTAAGTTTTGTATAGTTCGAAGGAAGAACACAAGTTTCAATCTTTGTAATTGCATTAAAATCGCTAAAATCTAATATATATATATATTAGTGGTCGCATTCTCAACAAGTTGAACTAAACCTCGTAGGTTCGAATCTCCTTGGCACCAATCATTATTACCTTAATTTTGGTAAAAAATAGTATAACTAAAAATATTTGTATTGCACATTCAGTTCGCTGGAAAAAAATTCGAACCCAGGACCTCAACGATGTGTGTGCCAGCTCTAGTCAACCTAGCCTGAAGAAATGTTGGAGATAAAAGTTAATTACTAGTAATATAATATAAACCATTGACTGTCAACCAAAAATAAAATATCGACTAACGGATCCAGCACGTGCGGTCGCGAGAGCTCGCCAGGTGCTGGATTTGCCATTGAGCATTGCCCTCACAGATCAAGGTTGGTAAGTCAATCTATCCACATGATTGTCCATGTATCAGAAAAGATTCGACAGCCACTGTAACTCCTGCTTCTTCAGGCAAAATTTCAGGTCGAAAAATTTCTAGAAATACTATCAAGATATCAGTGACAGTATATTTGGATTTGTACCATAAACGACATATAAAATTTTAGACTGCGTCTTTTAAAAATGTTGACTTATAAAGGCAAGACTCCAAAAAGTCCATGCCCAAAATTAGAAGCAGAAAAATTCAAATTAATATCACTGAAATTTTAGTATTATTAACTGTGTAAGCAATGGTTTTTTCTATTTTTAATTTTTTAATTCTCTAAATAATTGAAAAGACATACTCAAC